TTCTTACTTATATGTAACAAGTTTTATATGGTTTGCTTCAATGGTTAACGATAACTTCGGATGTCTCGTTCAAGAGCACTTAGTGACTTTGAACATGTCTTCGCCTACTTGTAACGTTGTAACGTCTCCTTGTTGTTATAAGCCACTGAGGGAAGTTGAACAATTGATAATAAATGCTATACTAATGACCATGGAATAGCCGAGGCTCGGCATTAAATAAAGATATAAAACCCGGGCTCCAGGCTCAAATGGCGGGGAAAGTTCCAGGCGATTTAACCGGGGCGAAGCCACATGGCGGCACAACTGTCGCGTATCTGCCTCTCTCCAAGCTTATTGCACTGTCACTTCTACCACTTTCTCAATCAGGACTAATGTCTATGAATAGTTTATTAATTTTAAAAAAACAACAACATTAAAACAAAATAAGCAAAAGAGATGCATTTTTATATTTTTTGTTTATAATTTATACGTACCAATATATATAAATGGAAAATTAATATAAACGAGAAAAAAATCGAAGATGTAGAAAGTATATGTTAGAAAGTGAGAAACATCCTTTATTTATTTTTTAAATATTTTATTTTTAAATTTTAATTTAAATGCGGATAGAACATCGATATAATTAATAAGTAACAAGTTAAAAATGATGGATTACTCATAAATTTTACTGCAAATTTTTCAAACGTAATCTTAAGTATTTTATATATCAAAGAAGTATAAATTAGACCATGGCATAAACTATTATTTTAAACTCGTTAGAAATTCTCTATAACCACATATTTGAATGGCCTCCATATGATAAATAATAGTTTACCGATATAACCACGTATATTAATTGATCTTAGCCATCGCCACTAGCGGATGCAGGATTTAATTTTGGAGGAGGGCTTCAGCCCGTAATATTTTTTTTTTTTTATAAAAATAACGATAATTACTTCGGAAAAAAAGAAAGAAACTAACTACCTATATGAAATGGTGTTTAAGTGATTCCTAAAGTCCTTTGAAATTTAATTACACGAACAATAATACTTTAAGAGATAATTTTTTAACATTTTTTTCCATAAAACATGGTTATACTTTACCATTTTGGGGGAGAGCTTCAACCCCAAAGCCCCCTCCCCCGTAGATCCGCTCGAGGCCATCGCTAATTTGATTCTGTAAACTTTTCTTGGCATATTTGTTATTGCAATGGTTCCATCTTATTCTCACTTATTTTATTTTATTTTTTTTTAATGTTAGCTGTTGATTGATGAGTATTCTGCGTGATTTAGCAACACAGCTGAGCAACCATGCAACATTATTATAGTTCATTCTTCTCTCAGGCTCTATGAGGCAATCGATAAAGCAACAGAATAATAACAAAAGTTTAAAAATCACACAAGAAACTAAATATCAAATTTTACTATTTAATTTTACTAAACTTGAAATCATCGATATTCAGCCAATATTTGGAAATTAGGGGTATGATATTTTTAAATTAAAAAAAAAATTATTTTTCAAATTGAGTAACAGCTGCAAACTGATTAAAGTAAATAACACGTTATTGATTAGGAACCTATTGCCGTTTCTGTACGTAAACAACAGGAAGATTCGGCTACGGGCAGTAAAAACATTCTTGCAAAAACATACCGTTCCAGGTTGAACCCAAACCGCACCATAATGTTTGTAAAGGATTTTGTAAATAACGGTGATATAAAAAAAATAAGAGTAATAATAAAATTTCCAATTATAAATAGACCATAGGTGGTGATCCTGCGGTCTCTAGGTCGCATATCGTCTCATTGACGTAGTTGTGGCCTGCAAACGTTTTTGTTTGATATTTCTTAATCTAGCGCTAGATTTAATTAATATTTAAATATTTAAGTAGAGAAAATTTGGAAATTGATACCATTAAGTTGATTAAGTGTATGTGGATGTGTGTATTTAGTGATAAATAAATATAGCAACAGTAAAATATTAAGTATTGTTGCGGCCTCCATTAGTACTGCTTTAACCTCACTGCGGTTTCTATTGATAAACAGGTTCTTCACCAATGCAGTAGACTATATGATAAGTTAATTTGGGAGAAAAAAGGAATGACAAATACTAAATAAATACTCTGCAAAAGAGTAAACAAAACAAAACAAGATAATTACAGGAACCAAAATGCCTTTTTTCTTTCCTTCTTGTCATTTGTAGGTGTGTGTACGCTATAATTTTAACAGAGTAAATATAATGATTTTTTAAGTTCACTCACAGAAACAAGTATGAACCAATGAAAAAAAATATTTTTCTTTTTTTTTTATGGGGAGAGGAACTTCAGACCGAAAGACATGGGATTCACTCCATCCCTTCACCTGCATAAATTCGCCAGTGATTTAAGCATTGATGTATATATTTCAGATATTTACATTCCTGATGTTTATCATGAGTCAAACTTAAGTATTTTATAGACCCAAACAAATATAAATATGCCAGTGAGCTTCTTTCCACATTGAAAACATCTGATCCTGTTTAAGCTCGCGTTAAGAGCAAGTATGTTCATAATTTTCAGTTTATACATATGGTTTTTAGTATCATCATATATATGTATTATCATATGTTAGGATTAATTAATTGATGTCATTTGTTGTTGTATATACTACCTACAACACTGTTACTGGCAATACTGTCAGATGTGAAGTCAGTGATCACAACAATGTATACTCCCTCTATATGGCTTCTATGTTTGTAGTGTTCTTCCACAATAAACGTTTCTGTATTGTCCGTGTTTGTTTCATAAAGAAAACCCTTACCATTATTAAAACTTTAGTACTTTACGGAACTTATTTATAAGGAATTATGAATATGATATTCTCCCACAGCGCAGAAAAACCCACGACACATGCTCCCGTATCATGGGCGATCGTCCTACAATGGGAAGGACGATGACAGTGCGACGAGGCATGTGTAGCGGCACCTGATGTAGCAGCCAGTGATATGCTTTATTGTCTAGGGGTTGTAATTGATTAACGCTTTCCCACCCTCTGTCAGTATTGGATATTCATAACCCGCCCCATCTGCGAGCCACCCTCCCATGTCCTCCGCCGCTCCTACACATGTCTTTTATTCACTTAGCTCCGGCACTGGCTCTTTATTATCGTATCAGTTTACCAACAGATTAACAGTACTGATTAATAATAAGTGGATCACGATTATCATCTTCCTTTAATTTTAATTCCCCTAATCCCAGTTTTCGTCAGAGTGCTTATTTTAGATTTTCTGTAACTTACTCCTTCTTCTCTTCTGCTAATACATTCTTTAACGAATCTTTAGTTTACAATCTTTAGTTTCAATAGTTTTACAATAGGGAGGAAGTATTTTATGATTTGCTTGTGGCCAGTACTACAAACTAATTGCAAGGGTACCAAAGAAGTTTAAAAAATATTGCTATCAGAGTAATCCTGATATTCAAATCTTTCAACTGGTTCCTGGATTACACGTTACAGTTAAAAAACCATTTCGTATAGGTAGTTAGTTTCTTTCTTCCGAAGTCATTATTCTAATATATTTATACAAAAAAATAAATCTTTCGGGCTGAAGCCCCTCCCCCCAAAAATTAAATCCTGGATCCGTTAGTGCTGGTTTGATCAATCGCATCCCCATTCATTCTTGTTAAAGATTTCAAATACTTCTTCTAAATATTTTAGCAATCAAGTAACAGTGTGATGTAACACGTTTTGTAAATTAATGTCAGCGCAAGACAATGGGATTGTTGTAAAGGATGAGACAGTTTCGTTTCCTTAATTTCTATATTTAACAGATCAAGTATTATTTCAACCTTGGTCAAAGCAGCTAAGAAAAGAAATTCAGGTTTTTAGGGTCTACGATAGCTAGAAAAAAAAAAAAAATTGAAGAGGAAATTACGGCTAGGGTGAAGGCGGGTGGTCTCCAGGCTGCTATTGAGGCATTCTATGTTGTATAGATGCTTTCTAATGGATTGTTCCGAGCTACATGCTCCGCCCATTTTAACCTCATTAGCTTCATATCATGAGATATTGATTGATTAGTTTCTGTAAGCAGTTATTTATTTGTCGTTCTCCTCCATGCAGGAGTGCTCTGATCCAAGATCGCTCCGGTCATCTCGGGAAGGTTTTTTTCTCTGGAATATTTCAATACTTCTTTCTAGAGAGCAGGTTATTGCCCCAGTCTCGCTGCCGTATATGAGAACTGGCCTTCTCATATCATTTTACAACCTTTATTTGAAATTTACAGAGATTTTTTATAGATTTCAATGCTATTGAAGGAGATAAGGTTCCGAAGATAAAGGTTCTTATTGCGTTTGTTATACGCTGGTCAAAGGACCATTATATTGGAATTTGTCCACTTTCAGGAACTATTTTCTTTCTTAACAGATCTTCTTGATATATTGAAAATTTCGGCTATCATATATGTATATATATATATATATATATATATATATATATATAAATATATATATTTTATTTTCCGGTTGGCGCAACAGACCATGAAGATCTTTGACCGCGAGTGTGGTCTCCTACACCACATCCAGATTCCCGATTTAAAGTGCTGGGTAAGGTCATCAATCCTACACCCAGTCGGAGTGAGTTGCTTCCAGTAGGCTGACGGGCCTCACATACCCAGAGGGGGAGGAATATCGGGCAGCGTGGCTTTCCTTGGTAGACGGTCACCCATCCAAGTGCTAGCCACGCTCGGCGTTGCTTAACTTTGATTACCTATTGCAAGCGCCTTACCTCGCAAGGCTACCCCAGCCCCCCTGGGTTATGGTCTTGCACTGCTATAATTTTTACCTTTGCAGACTGTCATGGCTGTGGATAATTTATACCTATACTAATTGTCAATGATTTCGGTGATTTTTAACTTTTGTGCCCTCGAACACTAATTCAAGGAGGGACATTGATTTTTTGGCACTGAGATGGTTCATTTTAAGTATATAATATTCATTTTAGTTTAGGTGTAATAAAAAAAAAGTGTATAAACTTTGTTCGTAGAGGACTTACCTGGACCCTGGCTTCGGTGAGGTCGATTTTGAGTGCGATCTCTTCCCTGGTGTATATGTCGGGGTAGTGGGTCTCCTGGAAGGCTCGTTCCAACTCCTTCAGCTGTGCCGATGTGAAAGTGGTTCGAATCCTCCTCTGCTTTCTCTTCTCCGTCAATACCCCCTCGTGACCGGCGTATACTTTGTAAGGAAGACCTCCTGGAATAGACATTGTACTCAGGATTCTATACAACAAGAAAGTTTAAGTATTAAGTGATACTTCAAACAAATTCAAATCAATAACTTGACACCAATTAAGTATTAAATTGACCAACTTATAATCATTCGCTTGTCGCCTACTTAACAAAAATTTAATCCACAGACGCTCTAAACTTCTACCTTAATACTAAATAATCCTCAATAATTTTCGAGGTGGCAAATTGGGGCAAGATCTGAAAGATGTTTTTGGAAGTTCAGACCTTTGTTGACAACAGCTTTATCTAGTTTTTCAGGCGATTTAAGAAACGGAATTAAATTGTTTACAATTGTTAGAAGCGTTGTAGTAACTCTATATCGTGGGTTTATGGCAAATAGTCATTAAGTAACATTTCATAACCTTAAATCATAAACAATTTTGATGAAGTTTTTCTCTGTGAAATCAGAACATTATGCACTTAGTGTAACTATTTATGACAAATAAAAGAATTTATATCATTTTTATACATTTATCGTAGCTAGAATAATAGGCCACATTTACGATAAAGAACAAGAGTAAGTATATATAGGCAACAAGGGAATAAATATTTAGTATTTATATAAAATTTATCGATAAATCTTCATAAAATTTAAATACAAATGAGATAAGAAAACACCACCGAAAAATCTACAAACTTAAGTTAATAGTAATCAGTTATTATGTTAAGGTATTTTCAATATTACTGTTTACAATACTTATTCAATTATATTTAATTTTAAATTTATATAGAAAAAAATACGTATCATATCTATTTGTTTATAAATGCTTTATATATTTTTAAAATAATTTTTATAGAACATGTTATTATGAGCTGCTCGAATTCAATATAGTAATCTTCTAAGGTAATTAATTTTAATACCCAATATACACATGAATACTATGAAAAAAGATTAAGGAGTTTGTTTTGATTTCATGGTGAGTTTTTGGTAACTTTTTTTTGTTTTTGGTAGATTTTATAAGAACAGATATCACACGTAATTTTAAGTAATAAAAATATGTTTTTAAACTTTTACAATTTTTATGATTTCCGTTTTTTTTTTTTTTTTGGTACATAAATCATTCAATTATTATAATTATTTTCAACTTACTTATCTTTTTAATTTAATTCTACTTACCGACTATAGGGGTCATTCTTGAATGGGGGTTGAATTTTGTGTCGTTTAATTCAGATTGAATTAGCCATTTTGAAGTTATCGCACCAACCCCTAAAACGCAAAAATTTACATATTACAATTTTCCCTTTCAGGACTATAGATTCATATATTAAATCAATAATTCTATACATTTTTTTATTCTGTATTTTTAAAAACTATCATCGCTTTATTTCTAAATCTTCTCGTTCTTTACGAATTATACAGAATAATATCTGGTCAATATACGGTGACGAATTTAAAAATTGAAAACGGTTTTTAAAAATTGTCTTAAATTAAATTTAACCGTTTCAATCATGTCTGATATATTGTTTATTTATGATTAATTATTGCTTAAACAATAATATTACCGATTATTATCATTTATTCATTACTTCCACATACTCATATATGTGATTTATATAGTATTAGAAAGTATTGTGCAAATTTTTTAATCCGATTTATCAACGTAAATACATGTTCTATGTTCCCTTGAGTCCAAATAACCAAGTCCCACAAATAGGTCTATACATGTATGTGAGCAGCATTAGTAAAAACAAAAATCGTACGGCACTGTAGCAGATCCAGTACAATAGTGGATCCAAGATTTAATTTTTTTTTTTTTTTTTTTGAGGGGGGCTTCAGCACAAACGTTTTTTATTTTATATATATATATATATATATATATATATATATATATATATACAACGATAATTGCTTGAGAAGAAAAATTAAGAAACTAACTACCTATATGAAGTGGTTTTTATAAGGTTCTTGAAGTCCTATTATGAATGAAATTACACTTACAATAAGAATTTTGGAGTTAATTTTTTTTTCTTTCTTAAGACATGGTAGTATTTAGTAGTTCTATATGTATTCTAATTTGAAAAATAGAACATGTTAATTTTTATGTATCTAACTTAGATTACCCACAGTAACAAATATGGAATAATGAAAAAAAATATATATATTTGTCATTTAGGAGAGGGCTTCAGCCCGAACCTCCCTCCCCCCCCCCCTCACCTACGTAGATTCGACTGTGCAGCTCTATAATTAAGTTTATTGTAGTGAAATATTCGCTAAAATCGATTAATCGGAAGTGGCACTTTAATTTCAATTAATTTTACAAATTTTATATTTTAACGAAAACGGCTTTGACGATTTTGACGAAGCTCATTTCATCTGAATTGAAATTTCTTCCTCTAAAGTTGTTTTAATTTTGTTAATTAGAAATAATTCAAGGTCAGTATTATTATTAGTAATACAAAATGGATAAATATGAACTATGAAAGAATTTGATAATTACCTGGAGAAGAAAATAGGGGAAATATTTTCGCTGGTTAAAAACGAATTTCCAGAAATATGAGTTGTAATGTTGGCATATTATATGCCATTAGAAAATTAAGGATTTCAGAAAAAAAATATATGTAACACATAAAATCGTAGAAAGTAACATAGTCTTCTTTTATATTGTTGGATGGCAAATAAAAGTTTCCATAGAAAATATATGAAAAATTTTTATTATTTTATTATTATAAAATTTTTATTATCCAACTTGATAAACCAAAAATATATAATGCACAGAATATACATCATTTCTCTTAATTGTTTTTTTTATAATTAGAGAGATATTCTTTAGGATTTTTAGATTACAAAAAATAATTATTCCTAATAAAGTACAGCAGATGCATCATACCACATTTTTTTTTTTTTTTAGCATCATTGAATTCTCCAAAAAGGGAAAAATACAGATAAAATGAAAATTTTGGAATTTTATGTAATTGAAAATAAAAAAAAACATATTTTCAATTTCAAAGCGTTAATCAAAGGTCAACATTATGCAGAGATAATAAGTAAAATGAATTTTGTATTGGTTTTAGATACTTTAACAACTAAACTTGAGAAATACGAATAAAAACTATAGTTTTAAAAAAAAATATTAAAAATAGATTGAATTAATAATAAGGTTGTGAATAAAATGTTATTATTTATAATATAAAGTTTTTGAACAAGCTTAACAAAAATAGGGATAATTTAATAAAGTAAATTTTATTCTGAAAAATGTTTGAAAGGAATTAAAATGACACGTGAACAGGTTTAAAATAAACATAATCTTATGAGTGGAGATAGTGAGTATTAAACTTAATACTCACTAATAATAATAATTTAAAATAGGTATGTAAAAACACATAAAATGAAAATGATTACTGCGCAAACATAATTAGGTGCTTGTTTAAATTTGTCTTCCCTTAAAAATGGCCTAACAACGGTGAATGTAGAGAAAAAATAAATTGCGTAGAGTATGGTACAATTATTTTAAATTCAATTATTTACACCTTTAACCAAACGATTTGATAATAATAATTACAATAATAAGTATTTATCGTAACCATGATTATCATTTTTATGTTAGTCCAAATAAAATTTTCTAAGCTGTTAAAATATAATTAAAAAAAAATGCTTTTCACTTCATTCAGGTATGTAACGTACGTTTGATTTTATTCTAAATAATTGTTTATTTTCGTAATCATCAATCTATTCATTTCTACTATTATTTAATTAAATATTCTAATTAATTATTAATTGATGGTTTGCTCAACAGACAATACGGCCAACTAAACAGATCACTGAACTTAAAATATTTAATATAAGAACCTTATATTGAAAACAAATTACTCATCTACAAGACAATCAAACTATATGGACAAACGAACTAGAACTGTGGGGGCAAAAAAATTTTCTAACATCAAATGCATCCAATCCTTTCAATCCAAAATCCTTCGAACTACAGTTGATGATCCTTTCTATGTAATTAACATAGCCATGTACTGATCTTAATATCCTCTTTGTCCTAGACCTTATTCCAGAAAAATTCTCCAAATTTTTTCATTACCTTTATATATCATCACAATACCTATCTAGCTTCATTAATCCCTACAATCCTCCTCGAAGGTTGAAGCGGCAATGGTCCAGGGACCTTTTGTAAATAAGTATATATTGGAGTTTTGGCAATGGCCTGATTCTCCACTCAAGCCATGTACGTTCTGTGGTTATAGCGTTTCTGCTCAGCCTCCACTGGTCCTTAATAGCAGTAATGCGGCTGAGTGAGAGGCGCTGGGATCTCCTGGAGTCTTGCTTTTCCTTCCACGAATGCGACAAGGGCTTGACTTGGAGTTCTCCTGCGTGGATGAATTCTACAAACATTCTATAAAATGGTTGTGTTTAAGTTGTTATTCGGATTAGTTTAGTTCTTTTTGTTTATATACATTTATTTGTATACATTAGAATGTAATATATTTCAGTAAAGAAATAAATAAAATGATGATTTTATAATATTATTATCCATAATAAGGATTAGTGTACTGAGTTAAGGTTACCAAGCCCCACATGGTTTTAAGCAACCCCCACCTCACAAGCAACCGCCAATGTATTATTAAGCAGCATTAACTGCTTAAATAAGCATCTCCTGTGGCGCAACGAGCTTAGAAACCACAATCACGCAGGTTAAGCTCAATGGATATAGTAGTTTCAGAAAGTATTTGAAAATAAAAGATTAATTATTTCGTTATCATAAGAGTAAGTAATATAAATGTATCCCAAAAATGGGTTAAACTTTTAGTGTGAATCTGTTTTAAAACTCGCTATAAATAGCTTTTAAACATAATTGTTTAACTGATTATTAAATTGATTGTTATTTCTCTGAATAATTTCTGTTAAATATATTTTAATATCGTAAAATAAGAGGCACACACCCTCAATATACAATATTATTATGTTGGACAATGTTGAATATATTATTAATCTATTAATTTATTTATATTCAAGAATTGTTTATCTATGAACGGTTTTTCCAATAAACAAATTGGTGGTTTATGTTCTGCATTATTACTCATAATTTTGAATACCTAATTAACATTTTTTTTCTGGACATATATTATGAATTAATGTAATTCAGCCTGTCGTGTTGAATTTATATGTTTTGGAATATTTTCAAGTATTTAAGTACGACAAAATTAACAAAAATATTTGTTACATGAAAATTTATTTTTTAGTTAAATAATGATTAAAATAACTGCATAATTATTTAAAAGACTAATAATTAATACGTATATGTTTTATTGTGTAGTGGCCGTTCCAGAACATACACACGAGATAGATCATGAAGTTCACAAGCCCGCTACAATATAACCTCACAAACGCACCGTGATTTAACCGACGAGAAATATTTTTATAATTGTAAAGGAATGTTTATAGGAAGTATTGTCTTCTGAAGGAGGGGAAGACCCACCCTAATTCAACATAATAGTTAGTGTTGCCCAAATTCGGTCTTGGTTTTTCACTTTGCAAGACCAAGACCAAGAACGTCTAATTGTTGCAAGACCAAGACCAAGACTGATAAAAAAAAAATCGTTGCCTACCTAACAAAGTACTAAAAACATATGAAAGACGCCCACTTATATTTCACTTTATTCGTAAGATGATTTGATCACAAAATCGAGAAAAAGGCCTACAAAAATATTGGGTCGTTTGGTGTATCTCCATTCCCAACATGTCAAACTAACTTGGTTACGTAGGCCGAACGACCAAATATTTTTGTAGGCAACCTCTTTTCTTGACTTTCTGATGATATTGCCTCACGATTCAAATGGAAAGTAATTGGGTAATTACGAATTTTCAGTAACACATTAAATTAATTGATTTAATGAGAAAACATTTCTGAAAATTTTCGCAGATAAAAATGTTGTAGGTTACTGGTGTTGCCCAAAAACGGTCTTGGTCTTGTAAAGTGCAAGACCAATGCCGCCTAATTGTTGCAAGACCAAGACCAGGACTGGTAAAAAAAAAATGGTTTTTTAAATAAAAATTAAGGCTAAATGATTACAAGTACTTGACAATCTTAGTTACTATATTTTAATAATTGGTATAACCAAAATACTTTTGAATTTAACTCCTCTAATTTTTTATTCGTGCTTAGTTAGGTTTCTCCTATCTAAAAAATTACAGTAGTATCTCTATAGTAATAGGCTAGTAAGTAACTGCAAGACTGTTGCGAGACACTTGCGCAAGACCAAGACCGCAAGACTGAGTTTGCAAGACCAAGACTCATCTCGGTCTCACATTTGGGCAACACTATAGGTTACGATAAGATACGATAAGCCATTCACGAAGTTTCAGACGGAGCTTGATAAAAAGGGTTGTGTACCGCGCACTACATGACCAATAGATTAAAGCTGTATTTTAATGTTTACATAATATAGGAATCAAACTAATATATGGAGTTTTTTTATGCTCTAACGATTAACCGGATTTGCCATTCAACCGGCGATATCTCGATCCCGACTAGGCCGGATAATCGAGGTTCCATTGTAACTGCTAATTAAGTATAACAAAATTACGAACAATTATCTAATGAGTCTGTTACCCTTACTATAAGTGTCGCGTGGCCGAATGGGGCCCTCGACTTTCCTTCTCCTCACATCCCCTTCGCCCTCCTCCTCACCATCTCCCCACAGCCAATCAGCTAATAGGCCGTCCGTCTGTCCTAGAAAATAAGTTTTCGGAAACAGAAGCTATCTCTAATCGTGGGACTGGCCCAAACCGCAGATTGGACAGAAAACAGCGAGCAACAACAATCCAAGAGAAAAAATCTAAAGACTCAGGTTTCTCACTTGTGGATAAAAGTAAAATTGAAACCTTCGACTCAAAATACTGGAGTATAATATCTTATCCGCATTTCGCTAACACCAAATTTCACCTGGTAAAAATAAGCATGCTGTTTGAGGGAATTTGCTCACCTAATCATTTAAAAGAAAGGCATGGTGGTTGGGGAGAGTCACACAACTTTCACTTAAAACCCTACTTAATTTTTCAAGATGTTAATGAGCTTTAAGGTTATTTCCTTATAAACACAAACTAAGTCAATTAAAATAAACTATGACACTTGTGTGCAATATTTAGTTTTGTTTAGTTAATCTAAAAATATATCTTAAAGTTCTTCATTTATTTCGTGGAGATTCCATTTAGTTACCACGGAAATTTTTGTTTCCCATTCGATAACATAAAAGTAGTCTTTAATAACAATAAGTTAACCTCCTAAAACGATTTTTATTAAGTCTTGAGATTTCCGATGGTACATTAAAAATCAATATTCCTTCTACTTCCAAAAAAAGATAGTTTTCAACAAGCAAAAATATACCTCACATTTTCACATTTAGTTAATTATACATTTGTTTCTTAGTTCATATTTATCCATTTTTATTACTACTGCTTTATTTATTTTTCTATCGTCGGCACAAGACTTCCATTCCCAAGTTCTATACTGCCCTACTTCTGCTATCATTACTAATAACAATCAGAAAGCATTGAGGAATTCTAATAAACAAAATTAAAGGAAGTATAATTATGTAACCAAATTTAAACAAATTGTCATTTAAGCCATATCAGACTATTTAAATGAGTATAAGACAGAGCTAATATTAAAATTCATTTCGTAATATATACATATAACAAGTTTAGTCAAAAAATAATTATATTCGTTTTTTGAGAAAATTATATGAATGTGTAAAATCAATCGAAAAAAAGTAAAAATGATAAAACATTTATATAATTTTAGCAAATGTATATTATTGTTACTAGTTTTTTTTTCTCAAAAATTATTTAACAATATCTATATAGAAAAACGTGTTCATTCCTGTTTTCAGAAAAAAAAAAAAAAAAAAAACACCAATAAAAATCCTGACTGACAGAAATAAAATAAAAATTTTTTGTCTAGATGATATTGTCAAATAATTTTACAAACATTATGAACAGGTGGTATAAATAATATGAGTAAAGAAATGTTTGAAAATGGCTCAGTGCTGAAAACGTTACAAAAATATAAGTTGATGGAACTCAATAATAGTTTTTTTAATATTTACAAAAGAATTTTTATGTGTAATGTATTCTGGATCAAAAATTTGATAATTAACTGTTGATAAATTAATATGATTGCATCCTATGTTTTATATAATATATATACTTATATATGAAAAAAAATGACTTACGACTTTAAAAGTACAAAAATATTTAACAAGTTAGGTCAAAATCACTAACGGATCTAGGATTTAATTTGGGGGGGGGGGAGGCTTCAGCCCAAAAGCTTTATATATGGTATATATATATTTTTTTTTTTTTTGGTTGGCGGTATAGACCATAAAAATCTTTGGCCGCGAGATTTGGTCTCTTTACAGACGTATATTCACTCGTGTTCAAGGACAGAGACAAATCTGTGTAGATCCATGGATTGTGGCTGCTCAGTGCCAGTAGGTGCACGAGGACCAACATTTCTTTACCTGCTATTTTTCTAATAGCCGGTCAGCCATCCAAGTACTAACCACGCTTGACGTTGCTTAACTTTGATAATCTATTGCAAGCGCCTCAGCCCATACGGCTACACCGGCCCACATATGTACATATATGACGATAATTATTTTGGAAGAAAAATAAAGAAACTAACTACCAATATGAAATGGTGTGAAATATATTCTTGAAGACCTATTAAAGTAATTAAACGAATAATAATACACAAGGTTATTTTTTACCATTATGGGGGGAGAGGGCTTCAGTCCGAAAGCCTCCTGCCCTGTAGATCCACCTGTGGTCAAAATATCAAACCCGTTTTTGAGAATATTATAAATATGTAAAATTAATCGTAAAAAGTGCCACGTTCGGTTGGTTGATTTCAGTGTCCTTTCATTTTTGAAAGTATGACGTCAGTAGGCGAACGAGGACCTATATCTCTTTCTTCGAAACAGACCGTCCATGGATCAAACCTCATTGAGCTACTAACATCCCGACATAAGTACACGGGGTAGGGTCATCAGTCCTACGCCCGGTTGATGTGAGTTGCCAGCAGTAGTCTACCGTGTCTCACATACCTTGGGGGGGGGGGAGGGAATCTCGGACAGCATGTCTTTCCCTGCTGGACGGTCACCCATCCATGTACTAACCACGCTCGACGTTGGTTAATTTTGATTAAGTATTGCAAGCGCCTTAGCTCGTACGGCTATCCCGGCCCATGAAAAAACTATTATGCATATCTAAAATATAATAATACAAAAATGTGTTAATTAAATTAAATAAAACAGAAAGATGAAATAAATTAGTAAATACAAAAGAAAAATGTCGAGGGTGTACATAACATCCATACCCAACAAAATTAATTTTGTTATTAATATATTCATACTGTTTCATTATATATTTTTGTAATTATAAATCTTTAACATAGTACATAAAATATATACGTTACGTAAATAAAGTTTCATTGCAATTATAGAAGCGTGAGACTCACTGTCAGTCCCTCAATGTAATTAGACCGCACGTGTCCTCGGCACACACCACCCTTGGTACACTACCACCCTTGTTTAGATCCAGTTTGTTTGTCTCCATACCAAGGACAACACTTGTTATAGTGTTAAGATGTTTTGTCCTCGATTTTATTGTCCTGTTTTGAGACAGCGTAGTCTTTATTATGCTCTTGCTGTCAGATACTTAATTCAGGACTGAATAAACTTAGGAGAGTAATGCCGAATCTCGATTCTTACCCTAAACAAATAAACTAAAATCCTTATGTAATATTATTTCGGAGTTTTTCATGTGTGTCTATGGCTGTAGGGCCCTTACTCAACCTCCACTGGCTATTAATACCTATGAAGTGGTTGAGGATGAAGCTGGAGTATCACTATTTCCTCTACAAGTGAGAGTTGGTTGAATTTCCCCTGATTGTAAATAGTATATATAAAAGTATGCATGTGTTTAAGCTGTTTATTTTATTTGTTTAAGTACATTTTTTTTATTTGGAAAATTCTTTAGGTGCGTTATTCACGTTTTTGTGAAAGGTGAAATAGACTGGCCCGTCAGATGTTAACCAAGTGTTAACGCTCGAGAAAAGTAGGCTAGAGTTGACTAATTGAAATATTTTTACATATGGATTAAAATATTTCAAAAACTAAAAATCGGGCTTACATACTGTAAGCGAGGAAATTGTTCAGCATTCATCCTCTCTGTTATAGGTTATAATTCAAAATTGTATCTTAACGCGACACCGCGTTAGGGAGGTGATAAGGAAAGCATAGTGCCGAAAACCAAATGATGACGAGTTTTATTGAAGATATAACTAAAAATCGGACCTGCATACTGTAAGCGATAGAAATGTACAGTATTTCATACTCTCTATAACGAGATATTATTTATAGTTTATATTTCATATTATTAATCTTGCCTTGTTGAAGTTTCGCTTCTATCGTGTGGTCTAAAGCACACGCCTTAGTTTTTTTTTTTTTAAATTAAATACTTTTTCTCTTTATGCTATTTTATTTTGTTCTTATTTTTATCTATTATATTTGTACTACCTAATTTATTTATATTTTTTGTAAGTATAGTGTGAATGTGCTCTCTGATCTCTATTATAAATGTCCTTAATTTATACAATGTAATATTTCTCAATAAATAAGTTTAAAAAAAAATATCACATTCCTATGATTTAATTTAATCTTTATTGCAAAAAAAAGGTTATCTAACCTCACTCCCCACCCCCTCTCCTTTTTATGTTCTTCTTTTTGTCTTAATTTTCTTTCTTCTTTTCCTTTATGCCTCTAGAATTCATAACGAAAATGACCAGAATTAATATAGTTGGTTATGCAGGATTCCCAGCTGGTCCAAAACAATAGTTTCCACCATTTTCTGTAGCAGATTCCTTACAACACCCAATTTTTCCTACAAAATGACAGTCGAAAGATGAATTTTTCCCCAACTTCCAAACCATAGTCTCCGAACCGAAAACTCTCTCTCACCAAATTCCTCTCTATATTTTTCCCTTAGGTGTGGAATACATTTTTTTATCGATTTCCTCTTTCTCTATTTGCATCTTGAGGTCTCGTTACATCCACATCGTTAATAAATAATGAGGTGAGGTTGAAGTTTGAATGTTTTCATTTCTAGAAGCTTATCATATAGCAAAGATTCAGAAGTTGTTATAAATTTACAAAATTTAGTGTCAGTAAAACGTTTTATTACTGTTTGACCATTTCGATAAAGTCATTATCAGAAAAAGATGATGTAATTATAACAGGGGTATAATGAGTACGCGATGAATTGTTACAAGTGTGGTGGTATTTAAGTTTAATAAATTTTCCATTATCTCTTTATCATCTCTTGTTATATGAAGGCAAGGAAATTAAGATGGCCGAGGAATGTATTTAGCTCGTCTCAATAGCAAGGATGTCTCAATAGAAGAAAGGAGACGTCGTGGAAGGCCAAAAACCAGATGGACACATCGAATCAATAAAGATGTAAGATCGAATCAACTGTATGCAGATAACTGGAAATAAATAGCCCAAGGGAGAATGAGATGGAGAAAAATGAATGAAATAGTCAGGATGCTCGAGTATCTGAACAACTTCATTTCTCGAAACACCCACATGGGATGTTATTTAAGAAATATTTGCCTTGTTTTAAACCCTCCAATAAGTTAAATGTATATTATAGGAGCGAAGTAGGTCAGTGAGTTGGAAATTGGGCCGCTAAGCTCAAGGTACCGAATTCGAATCCAGCTGATAACATATAATTTTTCATTTGCCAGGACCCTGGGACCTGAACACCCTCCTGAAGCATACCCAGCCTCCATAAAGTGGGTAGTATTTATGATTGCGAGGAAAACCCTGGTGGTTGAGCGTGATCCTGGCCCGATCACCTCCCTGCACAACTGTTGGTGTAGTAGTTTCCACCCTTCATGGGTTATAGTAGTACACTTTTTTACTTTCACTTACTTATATATATATATATTTTTTTTCTTCTCCCCTTCCTCGCCTTTAAGGCTATACGGAGCATTTCCGGGCGAGGGGGTGAGTGCTGGGATTTAAAAGAAACCCCCGCCACCGGGACGCGAACTCATGACTATTTTTATCCAGTTATCAATTGTCAGGTTGCTGGACGGTGCTGTACACACTTGTAAGCCCATCCGGCTACCCCAATGCACTTAACTATATATGAAATATATAGTTAAGAAAAGTATTGCATTGTGAAAATTTTCGAATCTCAGTTTTCAACGGAAATACACGTTTTGCGCTCCTCTGAGTCCAAATAATCAAGTCCCGCAAAATGGTCTGCGTTTTAACAGTCTAGCTCAAAAACGAAAAGTCGTACGAAAGTGAAATTACAATTTAAGGTTTTTATATGCCTGGGATGTTACAGCAACTATTTCGTCGTAATCGGCTAACGGGAAGTGGCACTTTATATAATCGATGTAACACATTTTTACGATTTTCCCGAAAACGTATCTAACGATTTTGATTAGATTTATTGTATCGGTGTAAAATCAAGCAATTTTAAATATTATGTAGGTTTTATTTTCATTGATGTTCTCTAACAGGGTTCAAATGGCTAATTTTCAATTTCAGCTTCCCCTGAAGTACCTTTATTTTATTTATTTTTTTTTTAGAAACAATTAACCATTTCATATAGATCTTTGATATAAAATATAGTAAAATATAAAATATGAAAGAATTTGATAATTAACTAAAGGAGAAATAAGAGATCATAACTGAGAATAGTTGTAATGGAGAAACCAAAGGAATAAAAGCGCGCTCGAGCTTTTTTCGAAAGATTATAACAGATTTCCATACGTAACATGAGCTTAATATAACGCGGACTACGACAATGTTATATAAATATACATAGGTGGTTTTCGATGGTACTATTTAATATTATATTGTATTCATTACAGCCTTATAAATATTTAAAAAATTATATATAAGGGTACTTAAACAAATAAAAATACCCAAAATGAAATATAAATAAATATAGCATTTATAATTTTACTTTCCCTTCCTCTTTGTCTGAAAATAGTTATCTCTACTGAAAAGAGGGTGGTAAGTGAAAGTTGTGTGATGTGGGCACCAGATTTTTTTTTTTTACATAGCTATGCAAAAATCTAATTATAATAAAAAGGTGTTTTAACATAATGATGATGCCTAATAGGTTAAGTGACTTTTGGTAGTGGTCAGTAAACAGTACTCACATTATTCAAAAAGTATCATAAATATGTAAGTATATTAAAAGTATATGTAAGTAGTATATTAGAATGTAAACGACACTTGTGAAAAGTATAGGCTCGGTTATTCAATGGGATTCCATAGCTGAATTGAATTTAATGGTCCATTCCTTGAGGAACAGATGTGTGACAGAAGCGGTAGGGGGACCTGTATATTTACACGATCTGTCAGCAATAATCGATAGTGAAGGAGGGTTGAGGAGAGCTGTCACGTCTCCATTGCCCATGGTGACAGTGGATTACAATTTTCATCTCTTACAAACCTACCGTTACTCATTTACCTTGCCAATCGTAAAGCGGGGAAAAGTGGACCAGTTTTATTTTATTTTTTTAAATCGATCAACTTGAACGTTCTCAAGTCAGCTACAATTTTTTATTTTAATTTAAACTGATAAATAATTCATTTCTTTATTGAATTCGGTAAAATAAAGGGGCGAAATAATCAGCAGAAATTTATCGGAGAAAGAAAGCATGGAGTATAGGATACAAAATTTGGAGAAATTATGCTACTTAACGAGTAGCATTTATAATAAAAAATGCTTCTCCAAAAAGTCCAAAATCAGGCACAGTGATAAAGCCTGTGATACTGTATGGAACGGAGACAATGTTTTTTTCCCAGTTTGGAGAAACTGCTGAAAATAGAAAGATGGATTCTTAGAAGAATCCATGGGCCCAAAATAACACCAGAAGGATACAGACTGAAATCCAATAAGGAGATTTGCAGTGAAACCCCTGATTTGGAAACGGAAATGAGGGTAAAAAGACTTAGGTTTTATGGACACATGCAAAAGATGACCGAGGAGAGGTTAAACAACCAAATTTTCAGTAGGGTTATGGGATACAAGTTTAACCATGGATATACGGTACAAATAAAACAGGAAATACAGAGGCTTGGGATAACACGGGGATGTGAGGATAGGACAGAATACAAGAAATTCCTGAAAAGTGCGGTGCATCTGGTGAACAGTAAGGAACTTCCGTCCAGGAGGAAGTGGACGGAGGAGAGGAAGAAAGAATTGAGCGATATCCTCAAGCAGAGATGGGAATAAATTGGAAAAGAAACCAGTTTCATAGTCGCGTAGTCCTTCAGGGCTGTTTCGCGACAGATAATAAATAAATAAATTTATTTCTAGTACAAGATATTTTTTTTAGAAAGAAACTAAATCTTTTTATTGAGATATAATACATTTTACCACACTTAAGGGTACTGAGTATTAGAGCTGTAAGGCACATTCATACCATATTTACAATATAATAAAATAAAATGAAATACATAAAAATAGATAAAAGATAATAATGTATATATAACAAAGTTAAAAATGTATAAAAAACAAAGAAATATAGCTTATAGTGAAATAATACAGAAAATTCTTAAGATAAAAAGAAGAAAAAGAAATTAAATAAATATATATTAATGATAATAAATTATTAGAAATAAGTAAATAGAAAAGACAAACAAACGAAAACAAAACTAACAGTCATACCTAATTACAATATTTACAATCACCCTAGGGAGCTCCGAGTCCAGCCCTTTTTCCCAAGTGTAGAGGACAAAGCTAGACTTAAGAGATCCCAGCGCTTCTCTCTCAGCCGCGTCACCAGCATTAGAATTACAGGATTAATAATAAAAGATTCACTCACTACTCTGAACTAACTGGTTACGTTTCTGACGAATATCTGATGCTAAGAGCGCAATGACTTTAATATTAATAATTATTTTCGTATATAAGGAAGTAAAATTAAAAATTATTGGAGACATAAGATATTTATTTAAAATGTAAAATTAGCCTGTTTAATATATAATATTATATATTATTACAGCATTTGTAGTTCTTCATCAGGGCAATTCATCTTGCACTGCTGGAAGAAATACTCTAATGATGACCTACAACATAGGTCCAAACGTTAACAAACATAATAAAGTACCATTATAATATACAGAATGGTCTGTAATTAAAGGGACACTATTATAGGAGATAGCAGACCTCCAGATCTACAAAAAAGTTTATATAAACAATAGACCAATTTTCAGCAGAAAAGAAGGAAATCCAAGATTTGCGTTTTTTAAAATAAGTCAAGTTTTTTTTTGAACAGGAAGCGATGACTCCAACAGTATTTTACTAAAAATTGCTCTTCAGAAAATTAGACAAAATTTGCTTGAAATGAAAGCACAGTTTTTCATTGTTAAAACAATTTAAAGACGAATTTTGAGCGCCTAAACTAAGCTAAATGCTTATTATGTCATCAAGGAAGAATGGATGCAGACCACCTAGACACATGTCCTGCCTTGACGGACATAAAAGAAAAGACATGTTTTAATCAATACCTAATCATGTTATAAATATTGTTATAAGGAAATATATCCAGATTTCAACAGAAAAAATAATTTTTTCACAAACTTTATTAGAAAATAACATGTATATCTATAGAGAGTAAAACGAAAAAGAAACTACTGAAAATATCCCCCTTTTAATTTGCCACAGGCATTTAATCTCTGTGGCCAGTCATCAATAGCAGCACGCAGCAATTCTTGAGGAATGCGCTCAACTGCTCGGACCAGAGATTGTTTGAGGCTTTCCAAGATAGGAAGTGCTCTGTGGCATGCCATCCTCTCCAGTTCGGACCAAAGCCTATAATCTAGTGAGTTGAGATTAGGGCATCCTGAGGACCAATCCGTGGCAGAGTCAACTCAGGAATGTTCTTTTGCAGTATCTGCTGAGGTGACCTGGCTTTGTGAGCTGGAGCGAAATCCTGCTGGAAAATCCAATCCAAATCCAAAATCCTGGGCTTCTTAAGAGCTGTGTGCGCACACACGATCATTTTAGCGATTAAATTCGTCTTCGATTGTAAACATTTTCTCATCACTAAGCGAAAGTGAAGACCATTGGTGTAATGGCCAAGGAGCACTTTGCATCTATCCACTCAAATTATTTTTTAGGGAAGTGGTTAGCCTTTGTCCTTTGATTCTTCGAAATACACCCATCCTAAGGTCACTTTTTATTATGCGAGACATTTATCTGACAGAGATTTCCATTTACCAAGACATGATTTGTTGTTTTCGAATGGGATTTCTTAATATTCGAGCAGCCACTGCTCTCACTGCATTAGCCGTTCTCACAGCGCGGGGATGGCCCGGTCGATGTCTGTCACAAACAGATAGGGTCTCATTATATCTATTTATAAAAGAAAGAAAAATACAAACTAACTGGAATTATTATTCTGACATGTAAATAAAATAATCCGATAGAGGTAAAGATTATCTAAATAATAACCAAGGATGTACACAAAGTTCAAGTTTTGTATTTATGGAAGAACTAGGTATATAAGAAAATCTAATTCATACCGAGCAGCAAGATGTCGGATGTCCAAATGACGAACGACTTGGGCATAAGGGAAAAAAAAGAAAGAAAAAAAAGTAATGCAGATTGTGTCATCGAAAAAGAGCATCGGTAGAATCCCCAAGGAACAAGAAGAAGAGGAAGGCCAAAGGAAACATGGCGGAGATCTGTACCATATGACCTGAACCGGGCTCACAAGATATTATGTGTACAAATTCAACATGATTATTGTATATCGAACCAATATAATACTGGACAATTAAAAATAAATGTATATATATGTTTAGACAGTTGTAGAATTTTATTTATTATTTTTTTTTTTATGTTGTTTTAGATATCCTTGAAAATATCTGAACAATTGGATATATTACAATTTGTATAAATTAAGCATGAGAGGAAGGGAGACAGCCTTCCTAACATAAGTACATTTCTAAAACTTTTTCAGATAAAAATGAATAATGTTAAAAACTGAAAAATATTTTTTATTTCTTAGTTTCAACAACCTTCAAATAAAAACAAAACGTTTTCCCAACCTGAGTATGTAAAAATTTTTATACAAAAAATTCTCTGAAAAATATATTTATACTTGTACTTATTAAATATATTTTTCCAACTTTATTACAGAAAATGTATAAGAAAATCACGTGAAAATAGAGGTGTCCACATGAAAAGTGAATGAATCATAAAATCCAAGGATATGTTTCAAATTTTAATTTATCCAAGAGTAATTGAAAATTTAAATAATAGGAATATTTAGGTTGTAATAAAATAGTTACATACCTACTTATAGGTCTTTGCTAGTCGATTTTTCTTAATCGATTTTAATTTACATATTTTATTCATGTAGCTTTTTGTTATTAATTTTACTCCAAATTATGGGGGGGGGGGCTGAAACAATATTCTCTTTCCTTCAACATTTTTATTGGGGGGGAGGCTCTTGCCCCCTCGCCTCCTTCCTCCCCATCTCCGGAGTCTGTGACTACGGAGTCAACAGTGATAACAATAAATAATAATAACAATTTCGCTACTGCAGTAGTACTTTTCAAGAGCACTCAATGTTCTTATATATAGTGTCTTCAAGGAATATTATCTTATACTTTAAGGAATATTATCTTATACTTTAAAATATTTGATTCTACTTCCAACGACGTTTCGAGCTAATTAGCTCATAATCAAGTCATCAAAAAAATTGTGATCTACTGAAATGTATTTCTATATTATAATTTCATTGGACAACCATTTGTAGTACACCAAATACAAACAAATAACCATATTCCTCGTCTCCTTATTCGCGCATTTATTTATGCTTATCATTCGCGTAATGTACTACGAGTACCTCCTCCCTCTATTGTTTGACATTGTTAAACTCGATTGTTGTCAACCGAAAACTAAAAACACACACTCAACTCCTGGGAGAGGAAAGTATTGAGAAGAATATGGGGCGGAATCTTTGAGAATGGAATTGAAGAAGAAGAAAGAATGAGGAGCTGCGGGAACTCTATGGTCAACCTGATATTGTATCATTGATAAAAAGAGCGAGAATGAGATGGTTAGGTCACGTGGAAGGAATGCCAGACCAAAGAATGCCAAAGAAGATGCTGCATGAAAAGCCGGATGGCAAAAGAAGTAGAGGGCGCCCTCGGGTCGGATGGCTGGAGGATGTTGAGGACGATCTGAGGCTGCTGAGCGTTCGAAGATGGAGGGAAGTAGCACAAGACCGTGGAGATTTTCTGAGGTGCATTATATGTATGTATTAATTAATTATATTTAATTAATATATTAATTAGGTTTGTTTTTTTTTAATTTGAAGCATGTATTTTAAATTTTTAGATTTCGTTTTATGTCAATAAATGAGTCTTCCATTAAATACTTTTTGAAATATTTGTCAATGTGGTTTTATTACATTAGCTTTTACTTTTAGATCTTTATTGTTGAAGTTTTTGTTTTTATTTTATAATAAAATAACATAAATCTAGATTGGTCTAACTATTCCTTTCTGAGAATTTGAGCCTTTTGTCTTTTACCGCCATGGGATCTTCAAAGCCATGTTTTGAAGCTTTCGTCAATTTATTATATTCCATATATCGGTTGGCTGAAGTAGAGGAGGGCTGGATTCTTGCAGGACCGTAGCGCCATAATAATAATACATTTTAGTAGATAAAAAAATTTGTTGAATACTTGATGAGCTGATCAGCTCGAAATGTCGTTGAAAGTATAATAAAATATTTTTAAGTATAAGGGCTTATATATTCCTTGAAGACACTATATATAATAACAATATTTCATACATAGGTAAGAGGAAGTAAAAATAACTTCAGTTTGAAACTTCACCAGAAAAGTTTGAGAACTATGAAGTTTTCAAAGCTGTATGCACTTGGATTCGATTACAACAGATGTTATGTAGTTTCGGTGAACAGCGCGCATTTAATGTAGCAGGCGTAAACGACTCGCATGAGTACTTCGGAAGGGTTCTATCACAGTTGTAGTCATTGAATATCGTGTTATGGTACCGCTATTTTACAGGAAGGGACCATAATCTACGCAGCTATGATTCATAAAAACAAAATTCCAACATGTCATATTTTTATTCGTTGAGAAATATTGTTCACAAGTTTTTATAATCTTGGTTTTAATTCAATCAACAAAAATGATTCCTTGTTGAGGCTCTTTGAATATCAGAAACAATAGCTCCTTTTTTTATACGGTTGTACGGATTTTATCACAAAATAATAATTCTAATTTTTAAATTTATTTACTTTTATTTGATTGAAGGTAACGACCAGCTTGTATAAAAATATTTCTTCGTCAGCCAAAGCAAAGAAAAAACGTAAAAATGAATAAAAAAAAAAAATGTACCACTAGCAACCCATGAATGGTCATGGATGCAGTACTATGTGAGGAAGTGCTGTTACAAGGCCAACGATTGTGGAGGGAGGTGATTGGGCCGATATCACACTCGACCCCCAGGTTTTTCCTCTCAATTAATTTTTTAATTAAGAGAACCTACTTTATAGAGCCTGGATGTGCCTCAGGAGGGTCTCCCGACTCTAAGGTCGATCCGCGGCTAAACCAAAATTACTAGTCATCAGCCGGATTCGAACCTGAGACCTTAAACTTTGGAAGTCAGTGCTAACCCACTCAGCTATCCCTCTCCCAAAGTAAAAATGAATACTTTTAAAAAATACAGGGCCAAATCTCACACAATGGATTTTGGAGCTATGATCCTGAGAATTAAAAACAAATTAGCTTCCTTTCATCGGCTTTCCAACGATATAACTTTGCAAAGCTAGTGGGATTTCGAAGAGATGTAAACGTTGAATGAACAAAAAACGTTAGATATCTTCAATAATACGACTACCCAGTATTTTTTTTCATGGCTCCGAAAATCTGATCACCAATTGTCCCAACCATCAGGGATGCCCAGAAGGGGGTTTATGATTAAAATTTTTGATAGGGGCACTTTTCGACTGTTATGATTTTTCGAAATGAAAAGATTCAAACCAGGGGACAAGGGAAAGCATGAAACAGACCTCTCAAAGTGTATGATTTTTATGTAGTGTCTGTCTTAAATATGATCTACGATTTTTCTAATTCTATTTTAGCTTGCACTGTCATTAAGAAAAGGAGAGCAAAAAATATCTTGGGAGGAGGGGCGAAGGTTTATTCGCCGTTGACCTTAGAGGGGATGAACACCCCTGCCAACCATACATTGGCATAAAACTGTACGAGACTCAAGTTTTTACCTCAAATAAGTTACGGCTTAGAGCAGTTCCTCTATTAGGTTCAATTTCTACCGAACAATTCATGCCGTTAAGAAGTTTCTTCTCTCTTTTAAAGTGATACTTTTTTTTATGATGTAGTTACACGGTTATTTATTTATAATAGTATATATCTTTCCCTATAGTCAGAAATCATAAAGTTCAAAAAATGCTATTATTGTAAAAACCAAAGGGTTTGACCTTCTATTCTTACATCTCTCGGAAATTATAATAAACCTGTAGATTTTTTTATTCGATGAAATATATTTTATTTTATTCTTAAATGATTCATTCGTTTTCTCTATAAAACGAAGAGGTAGTATAGTTATTTACCATTCTTCATCTTCTTCGTCCTTCAAATAAAATAGTTACGTCCGGCGATACAATCTGAAAACCTTTCATTTTTCTGAGATCTTTTTAATTTCCGTAGAGTTTGGTTTCCAGCGTTATCGGCGCAGGCTTAATCATCCTTCTAGCATCAACGAGAATGACACAACTCTGTTGTAGTTGTCCTCAGTCGGAATTTCATGATTTACCCTTTTCTATTTAATTAGTGGTAGGGGTCTTGGGGGTTTGTGATGAGGAATTTTTGTGCCCCATCTTTGCCTTATCGCAGCTTTTATGCGGTTTTTACCTCATCTGGTGAAAGTCAGGCATCCATCCATCTGACGTTGAAGGGATCCAGGCATTTGCCAATTTTCCTGTATTCTCATAAAGATACTAC